CCGCTGGACTTGGAGCAAGTCTGCTGATGGCTCAGCACCTCCCTGCGAGATGTGCCCGCTCTGGGGCTGCAAAAGGACCGGGGCTGCCAGGGGGGGAGCCGCGTGTGGCAGTAAATGTCCCCGCACCAGGTCGTTCCCTTTGGGTGTCGGGGTGTCCACCAAGTCCTTGCAGAGGCAGCGGGTTCCGCAGAGGAGCTGTGCATGGAGCTGCTTGGAAAGGAGGGCTGGATGAGGGCAGGAACGGGGGCATCGCCTCAATATTCTGTATTTTAAGCCATATCTGTGGCAGATGCAGGCAGGTTTAGCACTGGGCTGATCTCCTGGAGGAGACGTTTGCACCAGGCCAGAGATATTGCGGTGCAGCTTGGGCTGGAATCCATCGCCTAAAGCAGCACCCTTCGCCCCTCCGCCCCCCTCCCGCCCCCCCCAAGCATTTTGTGGGGTTATTGTCTTATTTGAGGGCACCAGACTCTTCCTAACACCTTGTGCTCGCTTTCAAGCTCGCTGGTGTGCAACTGTAGCAGCCAAACAATAGAATTTGCAGACACAACTTGGAGCTTGCAACTATAGTTATCTATGCTAATTACAGGGTGTCTGACAGAAACATAATAAATGTAAAGGGAGAAGTATAGAAATATGTTTCTTCAGGCAGTATACAGTTCGCCTCTCTGGGTTCAGGCTTGTTTTCTTGCTCTTCTTTTAATTTACTTCTCTGGGAAATTTTTTTTCCCCTTCTCTTGACCTGCATTTCATATCACACCCAAAACCGAGCTAACCTGGTATGCCTCAGCGTGGCGTGGGGCTTCGTTTCGTGCCCTCCCCGGCTGCTGCAGACAAGCTGCTGTTTGCGAACATCTGCAGTAGGCTTCGTCTGGTGGAGACCTGAAATTTTGGAAAAGGACACCATAACACACTTAAAGAAATTGTTCTGAGCTTTAATTGCACCTCGGAATTTATTGTCTATTACCCGTACCTCCAACACTGGAGAGACAGGAATTCTTAGCAACAAACAGAAGGGGGGGAGAAAGCACTTAAGCAGGTAAAAAACTCCTGCAGTGTCCTTTTAACTGAACGTTGATTTTATTTGCCTTAGCTATGACTCCCATATTGGGTTAGGTTTGAAGTTCGGTTGATACAGGGCGCTGTGCGTGCAAGTTCCACTGGTCAGTTGTTGTCCTGGGGAGCTTTCCCCGTATGATAACTTGTAAGAAACACTGATTAAATATGATTTTCGAGCAGCCAAAGAATTTAGTAGGGGAAAGGCAAAGCCTATAGCCTGCAATCGCGCTGCTGCAAGAACCATGGATGGTATCTGGCCTGAAATTAATCTTTCTCCATATTTATTTACTTTAACAGACAATCCTGGAATAAATAGAGGCATCTGGGGGATCAAGAAATATTTTGCAGCCTCTTCAGAGAGTCTGCTTTACATTCGTGCAATCTATTGTGTACAGTTTCTTCCCTCTCTCTCTCTCTCTCTCTTTTTTTTTTTTAATAAAATAAAAGGAGGGGTGAAGAAAAGGAACAAAAGACAGAAAGAACTTGAGCAGGCTAAAGAGGAAGGGAATGGGGAAGGACAAAGCGGAGGAAAGAAGGGAACTTTATCCTGGGCTGGGGCTGGGGATGCAGGCGCAGGGGCGTGCTGCTGGCTGGAAGTTGGCGCTGGCTGCAGGCTGACTTTCGTTTCGCTTATGGAGAGATATGAACCAGCACCTCCCTTCCCTGCTCCGGCACGGCTGGAGGTGTGCAGCGGGGCCGGGGGGGAAGGAGCGGCGAGAAAACGCCGATTTCTTTTTTAATCCGAACTTGACAGTGTTAATTGAACCAAGGGAAAGCGGGGGAATGCGCTTGTTCTTTTTTTTTTTTTTTCTCCTCTCTCCCCTCCTTTTCCCCTCCCCGTGTGTGTGTGAGCGAGGAGGCTCCGTTTGTCTGCCTGTCAAGGGGGGCGCGGTGCCTGCTCGTCCCCGGGCCCCCCGGTGGAGCCTCCGGGCTGCCCCCGCGGGCGGCTCCGGTCCCGGCCTCGGGGTGCCCCGGGCGGGCGCAGGAGCCGCAGCCCCTCTCTGCAGGAAGGCGGCGGCTGCTGCCTGCTCTCAGGCCTGCAGTTGCAGCACGGAATGCCCCCCACCCTACCCCCAGTTGCTGCCTTTTCCCTACCATCAGTTTTCAAAAAAAAAAAAAAAATTTTTTTTTTAAATGTAAAAATCAAAGAAAGCAGTGTCACTTCAGTGAGCAGGCTCTCCAGTAGTGTTTCTTTCTTTTCTTTTTTTTTTTTTTTTTCCCCTCCCTCTTCTGTCTTTTTATTTTATTAGGATTATTTTTGTCTCCGTTCCTTCCAATCAGGGGAGAATTTCTCAAAGCGAAACTAAAAGATTTCGAAGCAAGCGGAGAGCCCAGGGCAGGGAAGGGATGCAGCTCGGGCTGAGCACACACAGCACTTGCAGGGAGCAGGGCGAACATGGGAAGAAGCATTTAGCTCCGAAAGGTGTCAGAAGTCAACGGGCCAGGACAGTGCTCAGACAAAGGCTTGATTTTCTGTAACGTCCTAATTTGCGAAGCGATTTTTTTTCTCCCTCCACCGGGAATAAAACAAAACAAAATAAAATGCTCTTACAGCTTGTGGACTGCTAGTGTTAGTTTTTCTCAATGCAATTAAGTTTCTTCCCCCTGCAGATTCAAAAGGGGAGGTGAGAGGAAAAGATATTAGTCTGCCTGGAAGGGATCTGATAGTTCACCATCATTTCAGAAGAGGTAATCTCCCATTAAACAAGTATCGGAGCTTTTGTGGAGGCATAAGAGTCTAGCTGGAGCGTGCATAAAAGATGCGAGATAACCTTGTAGCTGCTGAATTCAATAGCAAGGCGTGTTTTAATTCCTGTGTGGATGTTTGCTTGGAGCCACTACTACTTAAAAGAAGAATATCTCAGGATCTTGCTTTCTTTGCCCTGCACTCTGAGTGGACTTTATTCACGTAACTTTGCATTCATCCATGGGGATGGTTTCATGTCGAGATAAGCGTGAAAGGAGAATATTTCATGTGGGTTCACATCGTGTTTTGGGATTCTGCAGCTAACCGGGGAGAAAACGTTGTCTTGAGCCGTGTCTTTAGTTTGCTTTAAGGTGAAGTGTCTCCATCTCTGCTTTGTACTGCTTAATTCTCAGAGACGAGCAGGCTCTGAATGGAAGGGGTTTGTATTACAAGCGCTATGATTTTTTTTTGTAGATCCCACAACAATATGGGGAGTGAACAATTCTATGTGCTGGAGGTTTCCGTATAAATAAAAGAAATCTTTGCAAGATATTATGTTTGCCTTTGTGTAACACCAAAATGCACCATCCACGACTAATTTAGTGACCTTGTCTGCTTGCATTAAGGTTACAAAAACTGCTGCTCCTCATTAGAACTCTGTTGCTTGGGTAATTTCTGCTCGTTTTGTGGTTCGTCTGTGGTATATTCTGACATTTTTTTCCTTTGGAAAACGTCCCCACTGCCTCTGCTTTTCGGTGCTTCTCTCCCTCTGCATGTTCAGCGTCTTTCTCTCTCCCTCCTTCTCCCTTTGCCTGTTTTTTCTTTCTCTCTCTCCCCTTCTGCATATACGTCTGCAGACAACCCTTCTTTTGTAAGGTTTTTCTTTAGAATATTCCACCAAAGTAGAAAAGCCAAGCTGCTTTTTCCCCTGCACATGTCACCTCCCAGTATATTAGCAACCTTGCACAGTAAGTATTTTAAAAATGGGAATAGATAAAAGAATGATGACCATATATATTTTTTTTTTCTTGTGAACATAAAAATAACCGTCATTGGAGAGTTGTGATTGACAGATAAATTGGTCTCGATAAAGGCCAAAGAAGACATTCTGCTCCTGCAGGAATATTTCCCTTTAAGGGCTCACATAAAGCAGGGGACTTAAAACGGAACGAGGAATAAATTCTGTGGGTGACCGAGTTGATGTCTCTTCCCTTCGAATTTGGAAAACCTTGAATCCCTTCACAAACATCCCCCACCACCCCCCTCACATTTTTCTTTTAAAGCCTTCCCTGTTTTCCGAGAGGGAAATCTTATTTCTAGCAGCTGCAAGGGCAGCCTGCTGCAGCTTTTTACTCAAATTAAGGTGCAGGATTTTATGTTGGCTCAGCTGAGGCAACTTTGGAGGGTCTGGGGGCTCTCCTCGCAGCATCACGCCTTCTCGCCTGTTTGTGCCCGGATCTGCTTTAATCCCTTTTCTCCTAATGCTCGAATTTCCCATGCAAGTTGCTGAGAAAAAAAAAAAAAAAAAAAAAAAAAAAAAAAAGGAATACAATTCTGTCATGTGTGTTCATGGGACCTGCACAGACTGTACAGAGCGTGTGTCACTTGTGAACGCTGCATCACTGGAGACACACTGCCCACCCCCTGTGCCTTCCTGCCTGCCTGTCTCTCCCTAGGAGGAAACACCACCGCTTTCTGAGCCCACACTTTTTCTTGTTCTTGCAAATTTTGACCATTTCCCTCTCTCCCCACCATGTCACCCCAGCCCTATAAAACCCGAGGTGATGAATAGCCCTGGAGAGCCTAGACAATCCAGATTATTATTTTCTTGTTTGGTTTCTTGAAAAAAAAAATAAATAGTGAGAGGTTATTTTTGGTTAGGTATCTTTTTTCTTTCTTTCCAGAGAAATCGCCTAACTCCATTCTTTCAGACTCCAATGGGCGTGAGCTATTTACCTACCTGTCTTCCCTTACAAAGGAAAGGTTATTCTCTCAAAATGCAGGCAGGGTATCACGGATTTTTTAACGCTCCCAACTTCTTCAATCGATTTGGTGCAAAAAGAAAAGTTTCCACGCGTTTAAAAAAAAAAACAAACAAAAAACAAACAAAACCAGAACAATCATGTGCCAACCACACATTGTTGCTCGCTCCTAATACGCAAAAGCGTTCCCATCCTCAGCTACGCCTTATAGCTGAAAGTCAGTCTTACAGTTTTATTTAATGAACGACACATTTATGAACAATCAAATGATCCTCGTAAAAATTTTATTGAAGGACATAAAAACATCCACGACTACTTGCCGAATAATGCAGGCTTTCACTGCAAAAGCTCTTTCCTTTTTTTTTTTTTTTTTTTTTTTTTTTTTTTAAGTGGTGGTGGTGTTATTATTTTCCCTTCCTCTTTTCAAAGGTGCTCCTCACATCTACACATTTTGGTTTTCCTCCGGAAGACACTTAGTTTGCAAAGCAGGAATGGATGTGCCTGTGCCCCCCAGATTTCTCAGCTGTTAGGCAGGCTGACGGTTTAGACATCGCTGAAAAAAAAAAAAAAAAAAAAAAAAAAAAAAAAAAAAAAAGATGACAAAAGCTCCGTTTGTGCCTAGAAGCCTCTCTCCCCCCACGGTTCTTTGGAGAAGTGCTGTGGGGAGCCCAACTCTAAGCCCACTTCGCCCCGCTCCCCTCGCCACCCGAGATATTCAATTTTCACGTAGCCAGCCTAGCCTGGGAGCTGCAGAATCGAAGGACAGAGACAAATTACGTCAAGAAATAGTTCCTGCGCTACCTTCCCCGGTTACCTTCCACCTTCCTCAGCCCTGGGGTCGCCGTGCCCGGCTCGGGCAGGGCAGCCCCCGGCCCCCGCGGAGCCGCCTCCCGCCTCCCCCGCTCCGCGTTATTTCCAGAGCTTTTAGCAAAAGCCAGGTCGCATAGGCGCTATTAAAAAAAGACCTGCGGATTGATCCACGCTATATTTTTGGGTAAATACAATCACGTGAGGGCGGGCAGCCAATGGCAAACTGGGAAAGGCTGAAAAAATAATTACCTGCCCTGATTGTTCTATGAGAAGATAAAAAGTACACATACAGTTCATACAATAATCTTATGAATGTAAAAGAGGGGGAACCATGTCGGCTTCTGGCCCCATAAGCAACTACTATGTAGACTCCTTGATAAGCCATGAAAACGAAGAGCTCTTGGCCTCCAGGTTCCCCACCACTGCCTCCCACCCGGCTGCTGCCAGACCTTCAGGATTAGTCCCGGACTGTGCCGACTTTCCTTCCTGCAGTTTCGCCCCCAAGCCGGCCGTTTTTACAACCTCCTGGGCTCCCGTGCACTCCCAGTCGTCCGTGGGCTACCACCCGTACGCCCCCCAGGCGCCCGTGGGGGCCGAGCCCAGGTACATGCGGACTTGGCTGGAGCCCCTCGCCGGGGCCGTCTCCTTCCCGGCCTTCGCACCCGGCGGCCGCCCCTACGGCCTCAAACCCGACGCCTTCCCCGGGCGGAGGGCAGAATGCGGCCCCGCGGACGGCCGCGGCTACCCGGACTACATGTACGCGGCTCCCGGGGAGCTGAGAGACAGAGCAGCGCAGACAATTCCTTCCCCGGAGTCCGAAGCCATCGCTTCCAGCAAACACAAAGAAGAAAAGCACGAATTAGACCCTAGTAAGTCGAAGTCATTCTTGTTTACAACCGGGGAGGCATTACAGCTTCCAGGACCGTACTCAATAAAATGAAATTACCTTAGAGAGCCCGACCCTAAAACTCCAGATATGCAGGAAGATCTGGGGGTTTGAGAGAGTCCGCCTAGCAGAGCCTGAGAGCGAATATCTGTACTTTGTTTTGGGCTGTTTAGGCTATTTTTGCAGGGGGGCTGTTGGCTGCTTTGATCAAATATTCATCACCTTCCACTGGGGGGAATTAAAAAAAAAAAAAAAAAAAGGAAGGAAGGAAAGGAAAGGCAGGGAGTGCGTGTGCGAGGGGGCTAGGCAGGGGGAGAAGCCTCTTTGCTTTCAAATATTTCCACTTTCAAAGGAGGACGAGCTGCTGGCTGGAAGTGAACGTGTTGCTGTGGGGGTTTGGGAGGGGAAAGGAGGCTCTCTGAATAAATGCAGAGGTGTCTCTTTATCTGTTTGAAAAATCAAGAGGAGCTGCACCCGTGCAATTGTTCCTAAAATATCCCAGCACGTGGGAATAAAGGAAAAGGTGGGTACCCTGGGCGGGGGGGCCGGGGGGAGAAAGAGCGAGGAGGAAAATTAGGATGGGGAAGGCAAGAGCTGAGTGCGCGCAGGCAGCTGGGGGCAAAAGGCAGCGAGCGCAGGACATTGGACCATACACTTGAAGAAACATCTTCTGCAGCCCAAGTGAGAGAGGGAGGGAAAAAAAACAAGCACCACGAAACCTTGAACACGGGGAGGGGGGGGCAGCAGCGGGGTCAGGTAACCACCAGCACCACCCGCACCTCCAGCCTGCAAGCGGGGACCCGGCTCTGCCCCAAAAGTGCTGCAAAACCCCTGCTGGAGCTGGGCTCAGCCCCAGCCGTGGGGCTAGCAGGGGGGGCCCGGGGTGCACCATGTGCAGGCTGCACCTCCTGGCCTAACTTTGGGCTCGAAAGGCGGTTTTCGAGTGTTGAGCTGGGTGGCAGCAGCTGGGAGCACCTTTGTGGCTCTGTATCTCGCTGCCTATCTCACACCTCTATTTATTACACGCGGGCCGGTGCCAGGCACCCTCGTGATAAAAATCAGGCGAGGAATCAGGGGGCGAATGCCTGGCTTTTGGCTGCCAGGGAGCTCCCTAAAACGGGGAAAGAGCGAAGGAGGCGAGCACCACTCTCTCTGCCCAGCCGAGTGGGGCTGTGCGAGGTCCTAAAGGCTAGGAAAAAGCTATTTCTGGGAGCTAGGGGGGCACCTCGAGTGTCATCTTAAGATATTACAAAAATAAACTGGACTTTCCAGGTCTGTGAGAGCTTCGAGGGAAAGTGTTGGAGAGCTGAGGTTGTAAAAAGAGTTTATGGGCCTATGAAATGGTGGGAATTTTGACTTTTTATGACTATGTTCTTAGATTACTGCTAGTAGCAGTCATGTGGATAATTATTATTTTAAACCCATTGCTACAGTTTTATTTACTGAAACTTTTATGTGAGAACAGCAGCAAAAGAAAAGGAAATGACCCCTCCAAAATAAACAGATTAAACTCTTCTGAAGGTCACTTAAAATATTTAGGTAAGATCTGCTAATTAAACAGGTTTCTTTCTATAGACTCGCTAGGACGTGGAGGGGGGAGGGAAGAAAGGCAGCTGTATACATTGATTTCTTTTTCAAAAAAAAAAAAAAATATCTTCTTTCTCAGACAATCCCGTCGCAAATTGGATTCATGCGCGCTCCACGAGGAAGAAAAGATGTCCTTACACAAAGTATCAGACCCTGGAACTGGAAAAAGAGTTTTTATTCAATATGTACCTTACACGGGACCGGAGGTACGAAGTAGCCAGAGTCCTTAATCTCACTGAACGCCAAGTCAAAATCTGGTTTCAGAACAGGCGAATGAAAATGAAGAAAATGAATAAAGAAAAAACCGATAAAGAACAGCAATAAAGTTGGCAAAGTCCAGTCAATGAGAATCGAGGGTGAAAAAAAAAAAAAAAAAAAAAAAAAAAGGAGGCTGTTTTTGGGGGTTGAAATGTTTCTGACTTTGAATGTGCGGATGAATGTTTAGCATTATAGGCAAACACAGCAAGCGTTTTGGGACACGAGTCTTTTCTAAAATGCAACTAAATAAAAGAAAGATGTTTGGGGGGGGGTTGTTTTCTCTTCCTTTCTTCTTCCTCAATTTTTGTTTTGTCCTCCTCAGAAAACAAACACAAGAAGTACTTGAATTTTTTTTTTTTTTTTAGTATTTTATTTCATAAGTTAAACTGATCCAGTATTTTTATTTTTTAATTCCGTGAGCTCGTGAGTGAATATTTTGTACAAAAGAGAGGAAACAGAGAAAAGAGACTGAAGGGAATATGGCTCAATGATGTTCTGTCATGGTGTTGAACGTTTCTGCTGTACTTATTTGTGTATTTTATTCTCGTCTCAGAACCGTTCTGTAATATTGTTATGTTCGCTATTGTAGAGCAGCTCTATGTAAATATACCTAACGTCACGGAGAAAAAAAAAAAAAAAAAAAAGAAAGAAAAAAAATCTCATCATGGAGGTGTCTTTATTCAGAGCCCTCTGCAGAGGAGCAGCCCCGAGGCTTTGCCGGTGCCGGTGCCGCAGCCTCGGCGGGGTGGACCCGGGCATCCCCCGCAGGCAGAGGAGAGCGGAGCTTTCTGCTTCCTTCCCCAGCACTTTTATATTTCACAGTACCATAATAAAAGGCGCTGAGGTAAGGGTTATATGTGCCATCAATTTTTAGATTGGGATAATTAATTGTACTAATTTATGACCCCAGGCAATCGAAGTATATGTAAAAAGCCTAAATATGGATGCTGGGAATAGAGGAGCTGGCAAAGGCATCCGCTCTCTGCCATCCGCTCAGGGGGAGCTTCTGCGATACCGATGGGTTGCCAAAACTTGGAGCACTGCTGGAAGTGCTGCTCCTCGCAAGACAGCCGGAGCTGCCCAGGAGGAAGGGAGAAAAAAAAAAAAAAAAAAAAAAGAAAAAAAAAAAAGGATAAAAAAAGGCTCGAGTGGAGAGGAGCTGCGGGAAAGAAAGAGCAGGGGAATAAAGCAATGCGTGGTGGCGATGCGGCACTCTGCGATTTTTCGGGCTAAAAGACAAAAAGGCAGAATTCCCTCCTTTGGCCCTACACGGGGAAGAAATAAAAAAAAAAAAAGGGGGGGGGGGGGGGGAAGCTGTTGGCTGCGGAAAGGTCAAACCCCACCGTCCTGCCAGGACGAAGTGGGTCGGGGCTTTCTGGAGCTGCAGAGGCGAGAAAACGCTGCCCACAGCGCGCTAGAGCAGGGATTTATCAATGGCTCCTTCTCTGGGCGCTTTCCAGGCTGCTGAATGAGAAACAAGAGGCAGGAGATTGTATAAAAAATGAGCAGCGAGGGATGTTTAATCATAAAAACTTGTTATAGGTCCCTTTCTTTAATGAAATGAGTGGAGCTGCGTTTTAATCTTTCTAATCAAAACCAGATCAGGCGAGCAAGATACGTTTGTCGCCCTCGTCCCAGTTCCTCCGAAATAAAAAAGTCTGGAAGCGATTACTTCTGCTGATCTCATAAAATATTGCTCTTTAATATTTCTTGCTTAAGCATTTGGAGGGTTTTTTCCCTTCCCTGATTTGTGTCCTCGCTTTTAAAGCGGGCTCTATTTTTGTCACCGGCGGGGGACAGGCGCACCGCGGTCTATCAGCGGAGCCATCCCTGGAGCAAGGGAAGCTAAAAGCCCTTTTACAATCCCAGTTTTGTGCTAGATCTGTTTGGAAAACCTTAACGAGCGCAATGAAATGGTCAGGTTAGAAAACATTTTAGCAGAGTGAAGATTTATGGACCAAAAAAAAAAAAAAAAAAAAAAAAAAAGGAGGGGGGGGATCTTTCTACCTCGTGTCAATTCACTTTTATTATTGTTATTATTAATATTATTTTCCCTCCCGTCTGCTTTTCTGTCTGCGTTCATCCCGGCTCGAATAAAGGATGAAATCTTGCAGGGCTGAGAAGCCGTTCGCCCACCTCCTCTTGGCGAGAGGAGAGAAATCTCTCCGTTTTATTGTTATTAATTAAGAGAAAATCCCAATCATCATTTGGACAGGACTTTGGAGGCAGTTTCGGACCCAGCTCTCTGGAGGGGCTTGTCAGGAGTGTTTAGCGATGTTGAAAAGACATGATGTATGGAAGTTCATTTTGGCCCCCTTTCATTCAAACGGATCTCATTTCCAGTGAGACCACAGCCTGCTCCCTCCCTCCCCCAGCCCTCCCCTCCCTCCCCAGCCTCTTCCTCCCTGCCGCAGCCTCCGCTCAGCCTCCGGTCCCATTAGAGCCGACGGGCAGCGGAGGAGATGCCCCTTTGTCTGCACCGAGCTGCTGCCGGGGCTTTCTTTTGTTGGTGGTGGGTTGGGTTGGGTTAAAATCCTGCCGCAGTTTTAGTTCATGTGCAAGGCCCCCGGTATCCTCACCCCCCGGTGCAGGGTTGCACCAGTTATAAAATGCCATTTGGCCCTGCTGGGAGGCTGCGCTGGTGCGGCTCAGCCATTGAATTTCTCCGCCACCGCAGCCCTCGCCTCCTCCAGTGGCGAAAAAAACCCCAGTGTGGTTTAAAATAAATAAGAATAAGATTAAAAAAAAAAAAAAAAAAAAAGGAAAAAAGAAACAGCAACCGGCCATCACAGAGCAGCACAGCTCGTGGCCAGCCTTTCCCCGGATTAATGCATCAAAATGCTCCAATTTCGGCATTCTTTGACATATGGCGCGTGTGTGCAGACGCATACTGATACAGCTATTGTGTGCCTGCGCTGGTGAACATGCACATGTATTTCTGCCCAGGGAGAGAGGTAAAGATGTGCTTGTGGCTGAGCTCATGCTCACGGAGATAGAAATATGTATGTTTAATATATGTGCGTGTCTATAAGGTCCTCGGTGTGTCGGGTGCGTGTGTGGTTTGTGTGTGCCGGGTTTCAAATCTGCCCTTTTGTAAGGCACACAAAACCGACAGGACCCTACAGCTGTCCATAGGTACATTTCCGCAGCCAAAAAAATGCCACTTTTACAACTCTGTTTGTCTCACTGCTATGCGGGGCTGAATAGGAGCGAACAAAACAGGACCCTAGATCTGGCTAGACGTCTGGCTTTAATTGCTTTATGGTTTAAATAAGGTGGGTGCTCTTCTCTTTGAAACCGGATTATTGGAATGTTTTGTCTACAAGCTACAAACAACAGACCCCCTCGGACGAGGGGAGGTAAAAAAATAAAATAAAACCCCAACCCCAAGCCAAAACTGATAAAAGCGGGGAGGCTGCGAGGGGGGTGGGGGGGGGTGGCACATCTGGTGGGTTTGTTTGGCCCTGCGTGCGTGTGTACACACATTGTGCTGCCTTTTTTTTTTTTTTTTTTTAAATGGGTGAAAGACTGGGGAGGGGGAAGAGGAAAACAGTCTTCCTCCCCCCCCCCCCCAAAAAAAAAAATAAATCCTTGTGTTTATATAGTGCTCCCCGCCGCCGCGCTGCGCTGTTGGAGGCTCCGTTCGCCCCCCCCGGGGGATATAAGAGGAGGTGAGGGGGGGGTCGGCTAAAACGCAGAGCCCGGGGACCCTCGGGGGTCTGCGGGGGCCCCCCCAAACCGCCTGGGGCGCTGCGCCCCACGGCGGCCGCGAGATGGCGCTGTTGCCCAATCTTAGCGCGGGGCTGCGCGCAGCGGGGAGCGCGCCCCGCACCCGCGGCTCCCCCGCGCCCGCGGAGCGGCCCCGCGCAGGGTCCGGCTGGGGAGGGATGGAAGAAAAAGAAGGGGGGGGACACGGGGCCGCCTGGCTTCACCGCCACCCCCTCCCTCCGCTTTGCACCGCGCTGAGAAAAATATAAATTGCTTTTTTTTTTTTTTTTTTTTTTCCCTATATATATATATATGGATATTTTAACGCGGAGCAGCGCTCAGGGCTGACATCTGACGGCGCGGGGAGCGCATAAATGCATAAAAATGCTTGCAGAGAAATTGCCTATATCCAAGCGTGTTTTTTTATTATTTTTTTTTCTCCTTTATTGACTCACGTCACGTATCTCTCCAAAGCCTCTTCCTTTTTGGGGTGGGGAAGGAGGGAATGACATCTTCCAGTGAAGGTCAGGGCAAGAAGGGGGGGGGGGTATAAAATAAACTCCGTGAGTGTACAATGAAGCACCTAAAAGTACAATACAGCCGCACCGCTAACGCCAGAGTGAAGCGCATGCACCCGCAAGGCACATTACCCCACACCCATCCACACCTCCAAACACAGCCAAAACAGTAGAGACAAAGAGCAGCACTTTCCCCAGACACTAAATGTCAAGATATTTCCTTTAAAATGAAGTAGGCAATCGCATATATCTTATTTCATGAAACCTGGAAAGGTGGGGGGGATCCTTTCTTTCACAGACACTGAAGGCAAACACTTATTTCCCAGCCTAGGTATGATTCCGGCTGTTGAAATACTCGGTGCACCTTTGCTTACTGAGTCCGGGGATAAAGGTTGGAAAAATGCAGCATTTCTTCCCGATAGCAGCCCGAACTGCCCATATCTGACAACTTTTTTTTTGTGCTTTCCCATCCTTCTATTTGCACAGCAGTGTTTATTGCATGGGCAGGCACTGGGATTTTAAAAATAGAAATGCTATTGATTAGATGAGGAAAATAGTTACCTCGACTATTAGCTGTTAATTAAGGAGCCTCTGTCCCTAGCTGCCCTTTTCTTCTGTTTTGGGGGGTTTCTCTAGGGAAAGGGGAATCTGGGGAAGGGGAGACGAAGGTGGGTGCGTGCTGGATAAATGAATATGGTCATTGTGCCGTCCTTGAGATTATTCGGGTATGGAGACTATTTCTTCACAGCTAATGCAGCTTGTTTTTTAAAAGTGTTTTCACAATAGGCGGTGGAAAAATCACTGTTCTCCTGCACAGCTCATTGTCTGCATACGGGGAGGAAAAACCTAACATATGTAGCCCTTCTGAAGGGAAAAATACATCCCCTATTTCTGAAAATCTAATAAAGATGGACTGAGTGGCTACTGTGCCTTTTCCTCTTCTTGGGAAAGGAGCTGCTAAAAAATCCAGTTTCTGTCTCTCCAGAGGGTTGAGCCACCCCGTGCCTCAAAAAAATCGAGAATGTGACCTTTGCTGGGAAGAAAAACACCTAATATCACCTCTGCAAGCGCAGCTGAGGTGGGATTTTCTCCCTCCACACTTGAAATCGGCCAGAGTTCCCCAGGTCTCTTCTGAAAATAATTAGGCTGCTTTTTGTGGAGGAACATGAGGGAAACATTTAAAGGGCTGTAGACTTTTGAAGGAAACACGGGGACTGGTATAACACTATGTCATTTACAGACGTGGGGTGGATGTTTTTGGCGGCTCGGGACTCTACGGAAAATATCCCTTTGCGAAGTGTCCCCCCCCCCATCCCCTTTCCCCTACCCACGCCTTGAAAAATTAAGGCGAATCCTGGCGATTTTAGGTGATTTTTTAATGAGTTGAGTTCCTTCGTGCGGTCGTAAAATGAAGTGTCCGAAGTGAAAGGTTGCAGCGAGTGGTCACTCACGGCGCAAAAAGTCTGGGAAAGGGGCACGCCAACACCACTGCCAACGACGGAAAAATCCCAATGTGCAAGAGCGAACAAAAATGCCGATGGTTATTTTTTTTTTACAGGCGAAGCCCCCTGGTACATGCACAAAAGGGAACACATACTTTCTGTCTCACTTTTCCTCTTTCTTCCAAAGTAGCTCTCTTTAAGCAATGGTCTACTTTATTCCCTTGGAAGGACGCTTCCCTGTTATTTCCAGCCTTGGATTTTCAGTGGTTGGCTCGAAAGGAAGCACGAAAAAAAAAAAAAAATAACTCCCCATAATTTTCTGCCTTTATTTTCTTAAAAGAAGGACAGCAAGAAGCAGCCAATCAATAAGGAGAAGCTTCCCTCGCCCGCTCGCTGCCTTTTTGCTTTTGTTTGCTTGTTTGATTCCAATCTTCCAACCACCATCACCACAATAACAACAACACACACACCCCACCAAAAAAGGGGGGAAAAAAGCAAAACCAACCCAAAAAAAAAGGAAAAAAAAGGGGGGGGGGGACCTGGGCTCTGCGCCTCCAAGCACCCCCCCCCACCCTCTTTTACTCCCCCCTCTAGGTGGGACCAGCCCCACAGAGGTAACCCTCCCTCGCAGCCCCCCCCCCAACCCCAACACAATGACAACAACAACAACAGGGGGGCACCCCCCCAGCCCCTTCCAGCCCCCCCTTGCAAGCTGGCGACCCCACGGAGGGGGGGGGGGCTGAGCCCTTGCAGAAGCTCACCCCGATTTTTTTTTTTTTTGGGGGGGTGGGGTGGGGAGGGAGTGGGGGTTGATGGGGAGGGCAAGGGGGGGCTGCTTGGGCTCCCTTTACCTGTTGAGGTTACCTAGGCTGACCTCCCAGCGCATGTATTTGCTGCCATCAGTGAAGAGGCTGCTGCTGGGAAAAAAATAAAAAATAAAATAAAATAAAGGGGGGGGTGGATATTAATGCGCACCTTTCCTCACCCTCCTCCACTCGTTAGGTGTGGGTGCCCCCACCCCCCCCCCCAGAAGGAGGGCTCTGTGCGTGCCCCCCCCCCCCCCGGCACACACCACCTTTCCTTCACCCCTTCCTCCCCCCCCCAACAAACCCCCCCTGAGCGCCCCCAAATCGCTGTCATTTCCCTCGCAGCCTGTCTCAGTGTGGCGGAGTGATGTGTACATATCGCGTGTGAGGGGAGAGAGAGGAGGAAAAAAAAAAAAAAAAAAAAAAAAAAAAAAGCCACACCACCGGGATTTTGAGGAATTTGCCTGTGGTGTTAAAGGGAAGGAGCAGAGTTACAGAGAAATTGAGAGAGAGAGCTCTACCTACCGACAGATTACAAGAGAAGTCAAGAGCACCGAGAACCAACCGTACAGACACACAGAGGCACCATGAAACGCCTTTGAGATCGCATTAAAAAAAAAAAAAAAGCCACTAAAAAGCAGGACTTGAGACAGTCCAGGGACAATCTCGCACTAATCTAGAATTAAAGCCGTCTTTTTTTTTTTCCTTTTTTTCCTTTTTTTTTTTTTTTTTTTTTTTTTTTTTGCATGCGAGGGTCATGAGTTCCTACTTTGTAAATCCTCTCTTTTCCAAGTACAAAGGCGGTGAATCGCTGGAGCCAACTTACTACGACTGCAGATTTCCACAAAGTGTTAGCAGGAGCCATGCTCTCGTGTATGGTCCGGGCACTACTGCTCCCACCTTCCAGCACCCTTCACACCACGTCCAAGAGTTTTTCCACCACGGAACCTCGAGCATCTCCAACTCTGGATACCAGCAAAACCCATGCGCCTTGGCGTGTCACGGAGACGCTTCTAAATTCTATGGATATGAAGCTCTACCGAGGCAATCGCTTTATGGTGCTCAGCAAGAGACGACTGTTGTACAATATCCTGACTGTAAATCGTCTTCCAACAGTAACTCTAGCGAGGGACAAGGGCATTTAAATCAAAATTCGTCTCCCAGTCTCATGTTCCCATGGATGAGACCTCACGGTTAGGACCTTTTTTTCCTCCTCCTTAAATGTTTTCCTTTATTTTTTCTCTCTTTATCTCCCTCTCTCTCTCCCTCCCCTCTGTCTGTCTGTCTGTCTGTCTATCTATATATGTATGTATGCATATACAAGCACAAACATATGTATATATATATATACACACGCACGTACACACATATGCATACATATATATATAAATATAAGAGGCGTAGATGTAAAATATGAAAGGAATGAGTAGTTTTGTGCTAATGTTTCTTCTTTTTAGGAAGACCTTTGAAAGCAAGCAAGACAGCAGTTACTAGAGAGCCAGCAAGGTGATTCCCTGCAAAAGGCTTAAATCACAATAAAGTAAAACTTGTTTTTTATTGCTTGCCTTGAGGATAGGCAATAAGATACAGCTCCCACGAGGTTATTTGCATGTTGATAATACACTGCTCTTTAAAATGTCATATAGCCTTTCATAACCGCTTGGAGACGAAGCCTGAAAGGTGGGAATTTGTATAAGTATTACTAATACTTTACATCTGTTTCTTAAAGCCTAGAGATAAAAGTTTAAGCAGAAAAGGAAACTTAGCTCAGAGCTATGGGGTGGGGTGGAGGAGAACATTATACTGTCCTGGGTTAAAGAAGGGGGTGGGAAATTCAAAATAATTTGGGCTGAATGGAACTTTGCTCATGTGAAGCCCAGATAATGGCACAGAAATCTGAATACTTCAAAGTACAAGTTTCCCCCACCTAAGGACCAAGGTTGTCTAGAAGCCTTGTTAATTCAAAACATGTGAAGGTTAGTGTTAATTTTAAGGACAATCAGAGCACCAAAGTTTCTCCCCTAGCCCCCTATGCCTAGAAAATTGAAAAAGAAAGAAGAAAAGAGAAAGAAAAGAAATAGGAAGGAGCTCTGGCTAATGTAGAGAGGATGTGGCCCAGAGAGCCTGGGAGATAGACGCAGAGGAAAACATGATATTTATCTAAGCTTTGACCTAGAGGTAGTCTCAAGGATGCAATCATTTCAAGCTGAAGCTTTTTTTTTTTTTTTTTTTTTTTTTTGTTCTTGCAAATGCATTGTTTTTCTCATTAAGAAAGGGCTTTGCAGAAGGAAGTGCAGGGGCTCAGCTGCACATACCTACGTCCTCTTTCTTTCTTTTTGACTATTGCTACAAATGTCCACCTCGAGTTGTTTTAAATGCAATCTCTGTGTTTGCACAGGCACATATCCATCTCTGTATGTGTGTGCTTTAGAGACATACATAACCGAGAGGACAGGCGTAGGGAATTTAATGGAAAATCCTAATTCTCAGGGCGTAAATATTATCAAACAGCAGGACCCTGAGCCTGTATTTTGGGAACAAGGTTTGGAAAAGGAAAACAGAGATGGACATTTTGGATAATAATAGTAATAATAATAATAATAAGGAAAGAAAAAGAAAGAAAAAAAAATGAACGGGAGAATGGGAGGAGAAGGAGAAAGGCTGGGAGGATTTCACGGTGAACAATGCAGCCTTTATAAAAAAAAAAAAAAAATTTTTTTTTTTTTAATTGAGCTGGCCAACACGACTCACCATACAGAATCACCTTTTGGGAAACTGGAAACATCTCTTTTGTGAATGAGCTTGACAGCCACGTCCCCACACCCATCCAAAAGCAGCCAGAGCTGAATATTCCCCTGAAAGAGCCAGGAAGGGACAGCTAGCTAACATTAGCAGCCCCCAGAGCAGCGATATGATTATTAACCCTAATAACCCAGCGACTTTCTCGGAGTGCCTTCAGTATGCAAAAAGGCTGAAGGGGGGCTTTTTTTTTTTTTTTTGGGGGGGGGCATCAGATTCTCTAGGAAAATCCAGGCGAGGAGGGCCGGGGGAGGGAAGAGCGCAGCCTCCGAGGGGGGAGAGCCACGAAGTTATTTTTTTTTGTGTGTGTCCTACAGCTCCCGGAAGACGCAGCGGCAGACAAACTTACAGCCGGTACCAGACCCTGGAGTTAGAAAAGGAGTTCCTCTTCAACCCGTATTTGACACGGAAGCGGCGGATTGAGGTCTCTCACGCCCTGGGACTGACCGAGAGACAAGTGAAGATCTGGTTCCAGAACAGGAGGATGAAGTGGAAAAAAGAAAACAACAAAGATAAGCTGCCGGGGGCCAGGGACGAGGAGAAAACGGAAGAAGAAGGGAATGAAGAAGAGGAAAAAGAAGAGGAGGAAAAGAAGAAAGCAAGGACTGATTTCTCAGCCCCTTGAAGTCTCGTTTTATGGCAGATGATAAATCGAGATGTTTACGACGGTCATTTGCTTTTATAGAGTATAGAATGGAGAGGCTCACACAGCAGTAACTACCTGTCAAACAGTTGTAGCCTTTTTTATTGTCATAGAAACTTCCCCTACTTTTTCTCTCCCCCCCCCCCTTTTTTTTTTCTTTTTTCTTTTTCTTTTTCTTTTTCTTTTTTTTTTTTTTTTAATAGCTGCATCTTTAGTTCATCGTTGGCTTGACTGCAACAGCAGGGGAAAAAATTATCCAGCAAAGCCAAGCAACCCCCACCCAGCAGCCCAAAGCAAGCCTTGGAAGCAAATGTCACTGCTCACCCCTGCTCCCCCTGCCTCGCTGCACCCAGTGATGGGTGCAGATGTATTTATTTGAACAGCTTTGACTTTGCCTTTTTCGCTTGGTTTTGCCCCAGGGGAAGTGCGAGGGTGCTTCCAGCTTCCTCAGCCTGTTCGGGTAGGGGCTGGCTGGGCAGAGCTGCTTCCCCCCAAGCCATTTATCCTCTCCCTTTTAGGGGCCGCTCCTGTAGCCCCTGCGAGATAAGGACGGGATAAGGACGGGCGACCCTACCTGGGAGCGCCCGCAGACACCCGCACCATTTCCAGCGGGCTCTGGCTGTATATAAAAAAATGCCTTTTTCCCTAAGATAGGCCAAAATCACCCCCCCCCCCCTTCATTTCTATAGGCGCTGTTTACCCTCTGGCTGTGTGAGCACTCGAAATTCTTCATGTACTACCTAAAGGGAAAACCTGCAATAATTATCAAATCTATTATCAACATGGGGCTTACATATCCTAAATTTTACTTGCTCAGAATTTATTTAAGAGAGAGAGCTGTGTTTCTGCCCTGATGCAAGCTACTAAGTAGCATAAAATAATAATAAAAAAAAATAAAAAAAACACCTTGTATTGTACTTTATCACTACCTATAGAAGGAGTCATGCTTTGAAAGTATTTGTAATGCGGTTTTATTGTCGTTTGTTGCTGCTTATTTTCTTGAAAAAAAAAATAAAAAAAAAAATCCCAACAACTGAAACTGCCTAGTTGAGAACGCACAGTATTGTATTATTTTATTGTGCTTATAAAGTAGTGTAGAACTAAATTGCACTGAATGTATAGTTATCTATTTGTCTTGACTTATCTGTTAATGCAACATGCTCGAAACAAAAAAAAAATCGTCATTTGTTTTATGTAAAAGCATAGTTCTGCGTGTTCAACCTCTGAATGTAGCAATTTCAGCCAGAAAAAAAATAAATTCTGGACACCGTGGATTTGTATTGTATACGTGAGACATTACGTAAATAATAATAATTATAATAATAATAATAATAAAAGATTTTAAAAGGACTGTGTTGCCTGCTGTGCTACGTCTTTGTTTGGGACATGCTGTAATGGGCGAGGAGGGGGCTCTGGGGGATATTTCGTGCCCCAGCCCCTCCTGGCACCCTTCAGCCCCCAGCCCCGGCGGTAACTTGCGAGGCAATGGGCGCATCTGGCGTGGGCAGCACCGCGGGGGCGCAGCAGGATCCATCCTCCTGCCTCTGCTGCGCGAAAATCGGGAATAACGCCGGGAATGCTGCCTGGCTGAAGCTGTAGGACTGCAAAAAAAAAAAAAAAATAAAATAAAAGAAGAATAAAACCCGAGATGTTGCAATGACTGCAGTGCTAAGTCTTCCTTCGCCGTGGGAAAAGCTGTTTTGGGAGGGAATGCTGTGTGTTTGGAGGGGCGTTAAGCGTGTGCGAGGGGGTTTTGCTTCTCCCAGCTGGGAAATGACATTTGGGAGGTGGGAAGTGCAGCCCTGCAGCCCCCCGCTCCTGCCCGGTCCCCCCCGTGCCCGGGCGGTGCCAGCAGGGCAGGGGAGGCAGTTTTCCTTCCAGACCTGGGGCAATTCGGTGCTCGCAGGCGGTCGTTGGCGAATGTTGGCGAGGTTGGGCAGGCATTAGGTGTGCAATCAGACGGGCTTTAGGGGTCTGGGCACCAGGCAGGGGCTGTGTGGCAACGCATTTCCCTATAGGAAAAGCTGGCGAGAATCGCCAAAAAAATGAAGTTGGCGAGCAAGCAGTTTATTCACTTCTTTCTTTCTTTTCCCAGACGCAAAATCCAAGCCCCTTAGCCCCCCAAAGCCATACCTCCTTACCCACGGAGACCATCCCCGGCTTAACCTATTATTTATTTTACTACTGCTACTATTACTACATTGCTACTACTATTACCACCACTACTACTACTATTAGCATTATTAATACATTTTAATTATTATTATTTCTTTATTTATTTCTCTCTCTCTCTATATATATATATTTATATATTTTTTTTTCGGCAAAACCTGGCGGTGATGCCTTCAGGTCTCTCTGATAGTTCTCGGGTAGAAGGTGAACTTTATAAATATTTCCTTTAACACCAGTCTCATTTCGTTGAACGATGTCTATTGATCTGTAAAAAAGGGTCTATCTGTATTTTTTCCTTTTCCTTTTTTTTTTTTTTTTTTTCTTCTTGTTGATAAATGGTCTACATCATATAGAGCCCAGGGATGCAGAAGTAGACGGGATGTTTACCAAGATATTGCAGATAAGAAAGCACAAGGCTCCTCAGATGCAGCCTGATGTACTGAACTATGTCTGGAGAATCGTCTGTGGGCTTCAGACATTCTTAACCCAAACCCCTCCAAGCTTAAAGGATTTAAATGCCTCAGTGCTTGAAATTGCTGGACTCTGCCCAGGAGGGCTGGAAAAGGAGAAATAGCCAAGTTGTGCAGCGCACAGCAAAAAGGGACTCGGGTGGGTGCCCCCACACCCACTTTTTCCCCCCTTTTTCTCCCCGTATTTCCATGGCATGCAGCACGGACGCCCCTGCAATGCCAGCGTAAATGGGGCGGGGGGTAGACGAGGGTGGCGGGGGGGGGGGGGGAAGGCACCGAAAGCCGCATCAGCGGGGTCGGATCCTGCCTGGGGATGGGGCTGAGCCGCCGCAGCCCCCGTATGCGTGTGCACGCGTGTGCGTGCGTGTGCAACGCCAAAGGGATGCGTGTGTGCAGCTCCGGTGTGTGCACACTCCGAATTGCACCAAATACCACCACACGCATATTTCCCCTCCATCGCAGAGCCTGTAATGTCCTCGTTAACGGGCGTTAATCTCCCAAGAAATGCATAAAAACACCAATAAGGTTTATTCTAGACTTTTCCATATCGAGGGCAGGCACGTAAGGTAAGCAGTTTTATTAGTCATAAAACAGAGTGGTTTATTCTAACAGAGCTTTCTTCTTGGGGGATATTTATCCAGCGTTTACAACAAGGGATTTTTTATCCCTCCACTTGCCATCATAGGATGTATGTGTGCTCATTCATTCGAGCGATAAAAAACTCAGTGAGAAAAAAAAAAATCTTCTATGTTACTTAAAAAAAAAAAAATCGCGATAAAGCCTTCGCATAGAAAATACCCACATTGCTTCCAACGAGGGGGAAAGGATAGAGAAAACTTATCAAAGTGTTTAAAAATAATAATAATAAAAAAAGAAGAAGCTGTATCCGCACTCTATCCATCATATTTAAATCCACAAATCTAAGTAGTTTTATATGAACGAATACTACGGAATGACATTTATCTATCAAAAGGGTCTGGAGTTAAATTATTGAAACTACAGCCGCAGCAGTTAGTTTTGGGGTAAATGTTTATGTTCTGTAGTCAACACAACAGAGTCGCATCTTCAGATGACATCCAGTTATTTCTGTAATCACTCCATCATTTCAAGAGAAAAAGAGAAGAGACCATTTTATGGGGTAAAGTAATTTGAAAGAAGATTCGCTCTCCACAAAGTGGCTTATTCAGAAATGATCATAGCTTCGGTATTACTGAAATTAGACTCATCTACCCGCCTGAAGTAAGAAATATCGTCCTATTCCACGCTTTTTATTAGCCAATCAAATTTCCTTCGGATCTCCATTTGTGATTTGTGAAAAATATAATTCCTTGAAAAGCTGAGTTTGAGCATATTGCTTATTTTGCCTTAATTTATTATTCTAATCACAGCAGCCGCTGTGTGATAATGCATCCATTAGGCGAAAAAATTCGTTTAGATTTTATACTCGAAAATGGGCACAGATTATATTTTAGAGACAACGAATTTCTCGGGCATTAAATTTTTTTTTTTTTGCGCGGATTGCGGCGAAGAAGGAGGGTGGCAAGGAAAATGCGCCGGGGAGCGGGGGCGGAGAAGGGGGGAAAGTTTGCGAGCCAGACTTGGGAAGAAAAGGCGATTCTGCCCCATTTCCAGCTCGTCCTATTTTTTGCCTCCCAGACTCCCCCCCCCTCTATCCCCCCCCCTATATGCGGGACTCTTTTATCCTCCGCCCCGAAAATAGCCTCGCTAATACAGGACCCAAGAAAGGGAGAGGGGAGGCGGTTTTATAGACGGGGCTGATGCAAAGAGCGAAGTGATCGCCCGAAATGCTGCCGAGGAAATGTGTGCACAGGTTACTTTCTGCCTGCAAGGATAAAATTTCCTGTTCACATTATGGAATTTATTATCTTGTCTACTCTCTGGAAAATGGGGTCTCCATTGTGCTCTGGAAGCTGTTGTGGTCGTAGTTTCCCCCCTCGTAACTTTTAACTACCTGTTATAAAATTTATTGGTGGTTTGTAAAGTGAATAAAGTAATTTCCCTTCCATCCGGTTGTATTACAACCTTTGTGTTGTTTGGGCAGACAGACACGCATCCAGCCAGGGGGAGAAAAAATAAATAAATGAAAGGGGCAGGGAGGGAGACCCCCCCTCTCCCTCCCCTCCCCTTTTTTCCCCCTCTCAATTAAAAATAAATTAAGGCGCCGAAAGGAGAAATACCTGCAGA